AACTGAAGAAGGCTTTCTCGCACAATGGGCTCTCTCCTCTCTCTTCCTTTCAGCTCAGCTTTTAAATAGTGAACGAGCTCAGTTCACGGCTGGGAACTCTGAAACGCGTCTGTGAACTTCAGATGGGCGCCGAAACGCACCACTTTGTTTCCACGGGTTCATGACCAACAGCTCCTGTTCACGGTCTTAGCGACCGTTAACTGAATTATCATCAGTAACTTGCATTTTGGCCCTAGACGCCTCAATGTTTACGGTCATACAAGACTGTGAACATCCTAGGAAAACTACGAACTCGCCGTTTTTCACCTCTTCTCCCGGTTTTTGCTCCTTTTCGTCCAACTTTCGACTCTGGGGCTGGTTTTACCTGTTAAATCCTGAAATACACTAAAACACGAGAAACCTTGCATAAAACCACCCTTTTAGGAGCGAAATTTCCACAGACTACTGAGGAAAACGGGGGCAAAACATGTACAATTAGACCTGAATCACTCCCCACACTTAGACGTTTGCTTGTCCCCAAACAAACCATTTCACACAAGGTAATATTTCAACCTTCACAAATACTTTGGGGACAACTCAAAGGGCACAAAGTGGGAATTCTCAATGGCTATTGGTAATCAATACATGGACCGTTGCAAGCAATACCGACATCTACCACAAACGACATTCGAAGCCACTAAAAATGGGCAAACGAAAAGTTCTCACCTTATTAATGGATCAATGCAAATCTCAACAAGACCACTTATCAACCACAACCAACCATGCATGGAATTCAAGTCTGAGGAATCGGGATATGATATGGCATGCAAAACAAGAATGAATCACTTACTCTCAAGACTAGCGGGGTAAGGACCTTTTGGTGCAAAAGATGTGCACAATCATAAACACTCGGCCCTATCGTCTCAATACCACTGTGGTAACCTCTAAATGCTAGATTTCACGGGATGGTTGTCACCACTAGCTTGTTCGGAGGTCTTAGACGCGGGTTCAGATGACTGGCAATTGTCTAGGGCATGGGAAAAAGGCTTTTTGGGTGGTGTTAAACATGACATGAGGTTCTACATCTTCAACCTAAACCTGAAGGTTCTATTGTTAAGACTAAAACCCTTCTCTTCAACCAAAGGCCACTAGCGTCGGCCAAAAACCTTATAACTCCCTTCCAAACTATCACCCATCGTGAACTGCGTTGAAGCACTCTTCCTCGGTCTACTCTTGCTAGCACATTAAGGTTTGGTAGTGAAGGATTTCTAAAACAATGTGGGGATTTCAATGGCTTGTGTGCCAAGAAACCCCTCCTAGAGCATGTACTTTGATTTTCCGTTGCACTCTCTACTTTATTTACCCCATTTTATTACCTCTTTTTCTTTTCTTTTCTTTTCTTTTCTTTTCTTTTCTTTTCTTTCTTTTTCTTTTCTTTTTGAGGGGGGTACTAGAGAGTGAAAACACTAGCCACCTATATATTTAACAATCAATGCTCTCTTTTTGAAGAACTCACTCCAACACTACACTTCATTTTTCATTCATAGCAAGAACCGTACACAAACCTCCTATGTAGAACCTCTATGGAACTCAAAAGTGAGAGCTCTGGGACGCAAGGATGACTCATGTTTAGACACGAAGAAAGGATTGGGGGTCGTTCTATTAACACCATTACGCTCACAAGCAAGAAGCTCCTAACTTAAGAACGACCGTCGAAGTCACAATGCTCAAAGGGATTGACTAAGGGATGACACATTTCGGGACAATCAACATTTGAGAGTGGACTAATCCTATGCCTCCATCATTCTCACTAGTGACAACTGTGTTGTTACTCGCCATGGTAAGAAGCATCTAAGCACACAAGAAGAAAACGATCGGCTTAAAGCTCACATGGCTACCTAGTCACCCAACCATCTATTCCAATTCACAAACACAATGCATGGCAATTGTAATCAACAAGTAATAGAGTCTAGGCATCCATTCATTTATGCACACATGAGAACTAAAATTTTGCAATATCCTAATGAACCTCTCAGTCATCATCATAGGATATACTCGATCACACGCAACAATTCAAGATCAATGCCAATAAACACGAGAATTTCCCACACACTGGCCACTTTGATCATGCAAACATTGCTTGGATCCCTCAAATTTTTTAAATTTGGGCATATATCAAGGCTCCAAGCATCCATCACACTCACACAAGCATAATAGTAAACTACCCCCCCCCCCCCCAAACTTAAACTCGACATTGCCATCAATGGTGTAAGACAGGGGTAGAGTGATGTTACCGCTTGGGCTTGGCGAGTGAAAGTTGGAATCGAATTCGTGGTAGGATATTTTTAGCTTCAAGGAGAGACAAAAAACACACACACAAGCACAATATGACTTGCTCGAGGCCAGGTTATTAAAAACACAATACGATAGTAGTAGTAGTAGTAGTAGTAGTAGTAGTAGTAGTAGTAGTAGTAGTAGTAGTAGTAGTAGTAGTAGTAGTAGTAGTAGTAGTAGTAGTAGTAGTTTATGGTCACACACACACACAAAAGAAAGAAAAATAACAAAAGCAACAAGTTCAGGGTTACAAGTGGAGAAGTGGAGCGAAAGAAATCGGCTCTGCCACATGTCTCACTCGTCAGCTACCTCTCTCTGGTGGAAGGACCCGCGGCCTCATCTAGGAGGAAGCCCTAGCGTCGAGCCATCAGCTCGAGCAGATCAGTCTGCCAGTCGAGGTGGGAAGGGAATCCCACGAAGTTCGTCATGGGAGATCCACCCTCAGGACGAGGGGATCACTTGCTGCTGGTGGTGGCTGTGTGTGCGCTAGAGCCTGGTCAACTGCTGCTCGGATGACTCTAGAAGGTCGGATTCCCTCGAGGTACTCCACTCCTCACTCTCCCTAGAGTACCAGCTTCTGATTGTACAGTGTCTTCACTAGGATGGGAGTCACCCTCCCAGTGCTGATGGAACGAGCCAGATCCTACTGGAAGTGTCGGGCCATCCTCGTGATGAGGTCCCCCCATATGCATGGTGTCCACTCTGTTCTCCCCTAGACACCGGGCGAAAAAAGTAACAGTCAGCGATACTAGATGGATCAGCTCTGCTGGACTCCTCATGGAGTAGAGGGAAATGAGCAGAGTGTGGAGGATCATCCACTGGGTTTTCAACTTCAACGCATTGGTGAGGCTCCTCTCGAACTCGTCGTGCTCATGCTCGGGGCAGAAGAGGGCTCAAATGCTCCCTGGTAGTTGAAGTCGACGGTGTACTGCTGCTTCGTCATCGCCATGTGGGCGGTGTCGAGCCCCATGGCCTGAGCAAAGGCATCGTAGGTCAGCACTCATAGCTGACCTCCCAGCATAAACGCCACTCTTGGCCGACTCTTTTTGCTGGCCATGACGATGTGGGAGACAGTGGAGTAGAACTCCACGCATAGCTCGTGGTAGATCTCCTCGTTCATCGTCAAGAGTTGGCGCTACTGGGGGTGACAGAGCACCCGGTCATTGCGGCTCGACACCTGAACAAGTTGAACATGTCCATGTCCAGCTGCCAGTGAGGCCCAATCGGGCTGCCACTCTGGTAGGCGAACTTGTCGCCAAAATCCAGGTGGTGCACCAAATATCGGATGTACTCGTGCTCCAAGTTAAGCATACTACACATATTGACAAACAGACACCATACGTGGAAACAATCATCAAATAATTCTCGTTGGGAGGAAAAGAGATTCCCCCCACACTTAATTTTCCACCATAGATATCAAACATTTAAGCTCAAGCTCACCATGGCATAGTTGTTGGTAATTCACGGTTCAAGCACACAAAAAATTGAACCACAATCCAAACCACGGTGGCTACCATCCACCAAACAAGCATAAACTCTACTTGCATTCATAACAATTCACTTGGTGGGCAAATTCTAAAAATAAAGACAATTCGGATCAAACACTCCCACCAAGGCTCAACTAAGCTCATGTAAAAATCATTCCATCATTCAATCAACCTAATTCACCTAATTCCTCGCCCTAAATCTAGGTTCAACATTCAAAGCACACAAATCATCCTCACTTCACTACCTAATCCGATTCTCCACAAATTAATAAGGTAAAACTGAAAAACCAACCTGGAGGCGCAAGTAGGGCGTAGGAGGAAGTGATGTGCGAGCGAGGAATGCAAAAAACGATTGAAAACCAGACCGGAGAGGGGTCGTCGGAAGCTCGTCAAAGACTCGGCGCCGGCGACTTGACCAGACAAAAGTTTCCCCAAATCTCCCCAAAATTTCAGCACAGGCCGGTTTTGATGAGGGGAGAATGGGTATGACGTTTGTTTTGGGTTTTGCTCGCCGAAATGGGGGAACATCGAAAAACAAACGGATTTTCACATTTTTCCGGCGAAGATTTGAAATTTTCCGGCGACATTTGGTCGTGAAGTGAAGAGTCGTCGTTCATGCCCCTTTTATAGGCACAACTCGGAGTTCACGGACGCGTTGCCTTGTTCACGGTCTTAGCGACCGTGAACAAACAAATGCGTCCGTGAACTGGGGCTGGTCGACAGGTGGTGAATATGCAGAAGCGTCCAGTCACTACAACAAACAGAGCTTTTTGCGCCGGAAATGTTCATCGCTAAATCCCCAAATTCCCTCGTCGTAAAAGGTTTCCTACCTCCGTCGCCTATACCGCGTCGCGTTAGCTTTCCGCGACGAAAAATATGGCTTCGTCGCTAATACAACGGCTCCGTCGCTGAAGGGTTGACTTTCGGCGACGAAAGATTCATCGCAGAACGTTTTCTTCCGCGACATATATTCTCGTCGCAAAACATTAGGGACGAATTCCTCCGTCGCAAATAAATGGCGATTAGAAATTCTTCATGCCCTGAAATTTTCGTCGGCAATACATCTAACGACGATTATGTTCATCGCGAATACTGTACAGTTTTCTGATATTTTTGTTTAATTTATGATTATTTTACAATTAACTAACAAAATGTTGTAAGCAACAATGCAAGTGAACCTTTTCCATGACAGAGTACCAGTAACAAATACAATCAGGTATAGGAAGTAGTAACAAATACAATCAGGTATAGGAAGTACCTAGCTTTATACATAGAAGTATACACAATATACAAGGAATTGAAGTCATTTACTAAGTTCATCCTTCACAACATTTAGATCAATCTCTGTTTATAATAAACTACTAGTTCAACTCAGTCAATAATTGGAAACTTTCACCAATTGAGATATTCATCGTCGTCCTAGTCCATGGCCAACATGTTGAACGCTTGGCTGATAATCTACATAAAATATCAACTAACAACAAATAAAGATATTAATTACTACAATATCTTAGACGTACACTGGAAGAAAAAATAAACAATACAGTTGAGATCTTTATCGTAACATATTTAACCAATGGGAAATTCAAATGAGTTAGAGTAACATATATGATTAGGCTTTCTTTTTATCAAAATTCAAAGGTCTGTAGTTGTCTAACCAATGTTATTGAAATAAATCCAAAAAGTAGACACTCGTGATAAGATTGACCTGTGTTGAATTCTTCCGCTGTGGTGAAACTGAAACAAGCCCACAAGGAGGCATGCGCCTGCAAATTATTTTAATTCATCACCAACTGATATGATACTCAAAAGTCAATAAGAGCTTACCGTACTTTAAAAACTAGTAGTCATAAGGGAGTTGTGATTTTGTAGATGACAATCTTTTCACTATGACATCGAGAAGGTTGCCCTATTTAGAGACACACAAAAAAATTGGGGAACATGTTTGGCAGGCCCCAGTTGACCATGATGAATGCAAGTACTGTATTTCCTTCTATGCCTCTTGGGATGATGTTGAATCCTATTGATTATGGTGCTATAGGAGGTTTTATTGCTCAACAGCAAATTCTTAGGACAATGTGGAACTTCGAACAGTTAAGTAATAATTTGGGTGCAGCACAAAATGCTACTGGTGGGGCTACACAAGCTGATGGGGGAACAACACTTCCTGATATCTTTCACCAGAGCTTCCCCAATCAAATTGTTACCTCGAAAATGAGCAGCTCAAGAAAAGAGGACACTAAAGCTTTTGATTTCATCACGAACCATTTTGCAGCAGCCTGTGTCCCAAGAAGAGTGTCCTAAAACAGATATCCAAAAAGAGTACTCCGCTAAAGATCTTGTTAACGAGCAATCCCAAGGAACCATATCATCCTCACAACACAAACTACCACATTTTCATAACACTGAAATAGAGAAAAAGAACAGAGATGGAAGGATCAGAAACCAAATTTGTCATAGACCGCGCTTGGAGCCAGATTTTTCCAATTCAGAGAGAAGCATGCAAAAGCTGCTAGCTCAACGAGACAAAACCCAGATAAGAAACTAACTTAAATCCCCGAATCAAAATAGATCTATATGAATCAAAAGAATCAGTGTGCTAGATCAAAACCTGATCAATAAAAACCCTAGATCCAAACTCCATTTCGTCCAATCAGACTAGCAAACAAACAAAAATGGATAAAACGAGGAAGTGCAACACAAACCAGTGACCAAAAAGATAAAAGATGCAGAGACAAAGTAAAGCTCACCCGCTTGAAAGGGAAGAGGAACCACACCGCGGAGGGAGAATGTGTGTACGTAGGAGCTGAGGAGTAATGACAAAGAGAGCTTTCGTAGCAGAGAACCCGCCGATAATCTTCAGGGGATTGGCGAAGGTTGCAGAGTGAGAGTTTGGGAAGAAAATGGTTGCAGAGCCATCGATTGAGGTTCAAGGTTAGGGTTTCAAGACACAGATTGAGGTTCAAGGTTAGGTTTTCAATTGAGCTTGGAGTTGAATAGGGATCTTTGTGATTGGGGTTCTAGATTAGGTTTTCAAGCGCCAGCAATTGGTGGTGGAGGGAGGGTTTAGAGCGATGGCGATTTGCAGGCTTTGAAGGTCTTGGTTGGAGTTGGAGACGAAGGGTTGTGGGTTTGGGGGGAACGAGGACATCGGAAATATTTAAGCTCCAGGGATAATCTTAAATATTTTATTAATTTTTTTTATGATTTTCGTGACTTTTATTTTTTTTGGTAGTAAACAGAGCGCTAGGGGCGCTCAGCCCTTAAACATTAACTAAACGAGGGGTTTGGACCCCCATTACATCAAAAAACATCCAGTAGTTTAAAGTCGGACTCGGATTATCGATAACCTGCACTCCTATCTGAAGAGATTGCCCAAGACTTGCCAAATAATCCGCTGTGAAATTGCTTTCGCGGAATACATGCTTAACCTTAACTTCCCAATCCAGCTCTATCAACCGCCGAGCTTCAGCTATTAACGCATGGTGTGGGTGCATGTCTACCCCCGACTGAATCAGGTGAACCGCAGTCACTGAGTCCGTCTGAATCTCGATCTTCCGGGCACCACTGTCCCACGCTAACCTCAAACCATGGACAATACCCGTGAGCTCAGCATGAGTTATTGATCCACCACCCAGGTTTGCCGCAAACGCTCTGATAAACCTGCCATCATGTCTCCGGAGAATGCCCCCCGCCGCAGCTGTGCCCTCGCTCAAATTCACAGCTCCATCCGTATTCAAACACACCCAACCCTCTGGGGGTCCCTGCCAGTTCACCATTCTTGTTACTCGTTCCAGATTTTCATCAAAAATTCTCACATTCTGGTTGAACGCCCGCTTGGTGTGTTCGCACAGTTGCTTTACTTGCGCCACCAATGCCTGGGATGACGCTAGCTGCTTCTCAAAGACCCAGCAATTCCTGTTGTACCAGAGTTTCCAACACATAATCGCAAAAAGAGTGGGATCAATAACAGTACCGCGGCCCGTTAGGAAATGCATCAGCCATTTCCTCAAATCTTCCCCGAAGAAATCTTGATCCTGCTCTCCATCCAGCACTTCCGCCCAGACCATCCGCGCATACGGGCACTCCCGGAGCACATGAATAGTGGTTTCGGGCCCCGCTCCACAGATCGTACAATGGTCTTCCTGGGTTAGGTGTCTCCTACGCCGTTCCGCATTCGTCAGTAATCTCTGATGGAGAACCAGCCAAAGAAACGTTCTCGTCCGCTGCGGCCCAGGCACTTTCCAAATAGCCTTCCAAGTCGGGGAGTACGGCAGGTCCCCGCCGGCGTTCCTGATCAAATCGCAAGCCGACGCCATAGTGAACCGGCCTGACTGAGAGAATCGCCAGGTTGGAGTATCCTGACCGGCTTCATGAGGCACCGGGTGAAGCAAGAGTTGGGCAACTACAGCTTTCGGGACGAAAGCCCTCACGTACTCAACATTCCATGCGTCGTTCAGCACCAATTCAGCCACGGTTAATTTTTTCGCCTCCTCAGGTAGATTTGGAGCGAACTCGGCCAGAGGTGGCCCATCCTGTAACCAGCGGTCAGTCCAGAACTTGACTTGCATCCCACTTTTAATGTTCCAGAGCGTGCCCTCCGGAATTCTATGTATAACTCGAAGAACTCCCCGCCACAGGTTTGATAACCGGCCCACTCTTCTCGGCTGCCATCCCCCTTCCGACCACCGCAAATACTTACTTCTGACTACACGAGCCCACAGACTCCCTGGCTCAGTAAGGAGCCTCCACGCAATTTTCATCATATATGCCTCATTTACTTCTGTCGCGTTACGCAATCCGAGTCCCCCCTTCTCCTTCGGTTGGCAAACTGTCTCCCAGTCTAAAAGGTGTAGTTTGCGGCCCTGTTCGGAACTCCCCCAAATGAAACTTCTTATTTTCTTGTCAATATACACACGGACAGCAGCCGGTAACCAGGTTGTCTGCATGGTGTACGCCGGGAGTGCCATGAGCACAGACTGCGCTAATGTAATCCGACCCGCCAAGGAAAGTGAAGTAACCTTCCAACCAGCTAGTTTGGCATCAATCCTGTCGATCAGCTCTGTAAAGGTATTCTTTGAGACCCGATCATGAATGACCGGAACCCCCAGATATCTTCCCAGGTTGTTGCCCTGAAGCCGCTCCAAAGCCTTCTAGAATGCTCGTGATCAAACCTGCCTGCTCTGAAGTTGCCACCCCAAATAATATCAAGTCGTCTGCAAAAAAAAAAGAGTGAGACAAAGGAGGTCCCTGCGCTGAAAGAATGATCGGCTGCCAGCTGCCGCCTTCCACCGCTCCTGAGATGAGGTGCCCGTGATGTCATAAAGGACTGTGTGAGCCCCCCGTTCCACTGTATCTGCATGCTCACGGAAGATATGCACGCCATGGTTACTTCAATGAACTTCTGTGGAGCTCCCGCTGCTTGAAGAGTTTCCCGAACAAACGACCACTTGATCCGATCATATGCCTTTGCCAGGTCTATTTTAAGCACCATCCACCCTCGCTTCCCCTTCTTCGCTCGCATCGAATGTACAACCTCCTTCAAAATACAGATATTGTCAGTAATGTGTCGTCCCGGGACGAAACTGGTCTGAGTCTCGTGAACAAGCCGAGGCATCAACGGTTTCAGGCGCTCCGCCAGGCACTTAGTGACCATTTTATAAGCCACATTACAGAGACTAATGGGCCGGAACTGCTCGATCAACGCAGGTTGAGCAATCTTCGGTATAAGCACCACAATAGTCTCATTTACAGCTCGCACCTTGGCTGGATCAATCCAGACCGACTGCACAAACTCCACCACCTCCTTCTTCACAATGGTCCAACACTTCTGGTAGAACAGCGGGTTCAGCCCGTCCTTCCCCGGTGCTTTGAGAGCCCCCATGGCCTTCACTGCTCCAAAAACTTCTTCCTCCGACAACTGGTCCGATAGCGGCTGCCACAAGTTGTCAGGAACCACCTCGAAGGCCGCTGGGATAAAGGACATAGGGAGCCCATCATCCGTATACAGCTCCGAGTAAAAGTTGCGAGCCATCAGGAGCAGCTCGTCTTGATCATCAATCCACTCTCCCTGGGCATTTTTCAATGCAACAACCCTGTTCCTCCGTCGACGTTGGATTGTCTTCGCATGGAAATACTTCGTGTTGCGATCGCCCAGCGTTGCATAATTCGATCGGGATTTTTGAACCCATAGCAGTTCCTCTTGCAGGAGGATCTCCTCCAGCTCATCCCTCACTGCCTTTAGGGGTTCGCAGTCAGACCCCCCATCATATTGTATCTCTAGTCTCTCTATCCTTGCCATGATGGAATCCTTCTTCTTCAGTATATTGCCAAAAGTATGGTAATTCCACTCCCTTGCTGCCGAGGCAAATTCCGCAATGGAGGTAAGCAAGTCACTTCCTTTTTTCCACGCTTGCTCCATCATTGTCTTGAAACCATCATGCAACAGCCATGGCGCCATAACTTTAAACGGTTTGGGCCCCGGGGCTTGGAACCCAGGATTCAGTTGTAGTAACAGGGGTCGATGGTCGCTCTTCTTTACCCTTGGGAGGTGGCGAACAGCTGCTTCAGGAAACAAAGTTGTCCAAGCCAGGTTACCCAGTGCTCGATCCAATCTCTCCTTTATCCCCGCTCGAAACCAAGTATACGGTGGTCCTGTGTAGCCCATATCGATCAGCTCCGCATCAAAAACACATGCCTGAAAATCCCTCGCACGACTAATATCATAGGGTGCACCACCCATCTTCTCTGAAGGTTGCAAAATTGAATTAAAATCCCCCACCAAAACCCACGGATGTTCCATATCTTCTGCTAATCCGCGGATCGACTGCCAGAGCTCTCATCGTTGAACTAAAGCGGGATTCGCGTAGACAGCTGTGAGCATCCATGCAAGGCGCCCACTTTGAACCCGGACATGCAGGAACTGATCCGATCTTTCCTCCTCGGCAACCGTAACTACTGATGAGTCCCATGTGACCCATATTCCGCCCGAAAAACCCGCTGCGTCCACGATCAATTCCTTGTCGTATCCCATATCCTTCACCACTTCACGAGCCCTACTACCGCTGATTCGAGGCTCAACGATAATGGTAATACAAGGCCGGTGCTTTCTCTTATATTCTCTGAACGTCCTCAGGAAGCTTTTACTTCCCGCGCCCCTACAATTCCATGCAAAAATATTTATCTTCATTTAAATACATGGCAGAGTAGGCCTCGGCTAGTGCCAAATTACGCAAGGGGGGTAGGAGCCCCATTGCTGGGACTCGCCCTTATGTTCACCGGACTAGGGTCCGTATCTCTCACTGTACCTTCGATCTCCATCCCCATTTCCCCATTCTCTGGCGGACTCGCTGGTGGTCTGGATCGTTGGTCATTTTCCTTGGGCACTACTGGTTGAGCTACCTCTCCCGTCGCAAATTTCAAAGCATGGGAGCTCGAGACCAGTTCAGGGGTCAGTTCCCTATTCTCTTGCTGCATGGGTAGCTTATTCACTGTCCGGGAATCTCGAACACTCGGTGAGCTTCTCTGGTCGGCTTCTCTCTGGGACGGCTGGCTTGGGTGGGTAGCTATATTCACATGTTCCTTCCCTGGGCGTTTCCCTCCTGGTTTCTCTTGCCATTTTGTATTTTGGCTTGGCACCCGTGAGGCTGCCTCTTTGGAGTTTACGTATGGTCGTAACCCCTCGGTAGCACTCACTTCCTTTGGCGTCACCACATCTTCCTCTACGTTTAGTACAGAGAACCGAGATCCCCCCTTCCCACTAGCTGCATGCTCGAGTCCCCGTTGATCTCTCTGGTCAGCCCTTCCCTGTTGAGCAACCTTGCGAGCCTTAGATTTTTTCTTCGCGATCATCCAATCCCCGTACACTTGTTCCTTCTCTGGAGGGCTTGGGGAGGAATGATCCCCGGTTGGGTCGCTTGGCACTGGCGGTTCCGTCGTATTCTCTTTTTCTTGTTCCATCTGCCTCTGCGGAGAGCAGGCACAGTAGCTTCGGGCCGAGTAAGTCCCACATTGTAAGCATATATTATCCAAGCCCTCATATTGAATGAAATATTTAATTCCATGAATCTTAAATTGCGACAGGAGCGGCTTCTGAAGGTCCACCTGAACGCAGACCCGCGCATAATCCAATCTAGCACCTGTACTCGTTGCATGGTCCACCCATAACGGCTTTCCAATGCGCTGCGCAATTTTCATCATAGCCTCCGGGTGAAAGTAATGAGCAGGCAAGTCGAGTAGCCGAGCCCAAACCAACGTCGAAGAGATCTCATGGTTGTAAGGGTTAAAACCCTTGTCCCACATGTGAACCGTAAGATAATTGTCGCCAATCATCCATGGTCCCCCCGTTGTCGCTCGTTCATAGTCCATACCGCTCGTGAATCGTACAAGGTAATACCCATTCTTGATCGATGCTACTTGGATCCCTCCTGCTTTTGCCCATATAACGTTCAGCCTGTTGGATATACCCGTGTACGATACTGACTTCCCCAAAACTTTCACCACTAGGGCCGACCTATATGCTCGACAAAACTTTCTTTCTTCCGCTGCGGTGAACAGGATTGGGGGGCACAAAGGATCTTCTTCCTCCATAAACCCTTCGTCGCTCCCATCTTGTCTCATGGCCTCCGCTACATCTTCCGAGTCTGAGTCTGCAACGTACCAAGCATCCGTCGTGGCGTTCTCGCCGAACAGACGTCTCGCTGCTCCCGACCCAGATGCCCACGCCTGCTTCCCTGTGCTGGAGGGGCCGTTGCGCGTTTTCTCGTTCTCCGTTACATCCACAATCTCTTCGTCTTCGAGCTCACCCGCTGACGCGGGAGTGGCCGACTTGGCACGTTTCTTGCTCTGCTGCGTCTCTCTCTCCCCTTTAGGGTTCGGGGAAGAGGTTGCTGTTGGCGGTCTTCTCTGGCCTGTGACTGTCTCTGCGAGTCGGGAGGCACTGGGGCCTCCCCCGGCCAGCGGTGGAGCCACCGCCGGCATGAAGCGAAGGTGAACCCTAGCTAGGCTTGTGTGTGCGGTGCTCCGAAAAACTCGGACTTACAAGTGCCCTATAATAGTTTTTTCGTGACTTTTATTAGTTTTTATATGTGTATTTCACAAGACACTTAAATGAAGTCGTTTAGAACAGGAGAAAAACTGGAATTTTTTTTTCGTTTTTATTTCTAATCAAACCTTTAGCGATGAATGTGTCGTCGCAATAAAAAGTTAGGCTTTGGCGACAAACACTTTCGTCGCCGAAACAAGAAACCCTTCTGCGACGACAAGGTTCGTCGGAAAAAAAAAGCTCGTCGCTGAATCATTTGCACATTCCAAAACTTTTTTGAACTGGCAGCAGTGATTATTAGCGACGCAGACACAAAAATTCGTCGCTGCTTTTGGCGACGAATTACTCTCTGTCGCCATAAAATTTGTCGCCAAAGGTCCTGTTTTTTGTAGTGAGTTCACAGACGCGTTTGCCTGTTCACGATCTTATGAGACCGTGAACATTAGAGAAACAAGACACTTCTGAGAAAAATTTGACTCAACCTATTCCACCGTGCCTCCTAATCAATCACAACACAACCTTAAATCGAAAATCCACAAAACTTGGCACGGGGATACCACTTAACCACTTGAACTCTTCACTTGACACAAAAACGAAAATAAAGAAAAGAAAACAAACCTCCGTTGGGTTGCCTCCCAACAAGCCCTAATTTAGCGTCATTAGCCTGATGGTTGGGGATCGATCCACCACACTCTCGGGGCGAGGCTTGTAGCCTCCCATATTAGACTCCTTGAGTTGGCCCTCTTGATTGGCCAACGTTGCTTCGGCCTCCCCCATCTTCAGGGCCAAAGCTCCCTTCATCCTTCGCCTCCAAGCATTTATCCTCGATCCCTTGGGCATATAGCCCTATATCCTATAGAACCCTAATACCAGGTTGCTATCAAACGGCCACTCACCACAGCCGGACGCCGCCTTATCTTTTTGCACAACATACGATCATCCTACTATCTAGTTAGCTAGCTATATTTCGGAAATCAATTGTCAGACAATGAGTTAGTCTAGAACTAAACTCATACTCATATGCCACAAAAAATAATACATCTCACAACAGGACGACACCATTGTACGACATACACACATATATATATATGAAAAAATAAATTAGAATGTCGATGAAATATATAACCTATTCCATTTTCTTTTGCTTATGATAATAATAATAATAATAATAATACTCAAATTACAAGCTATTTCACTAATTAAATTAAAGCTCATCGGCAGTGGCCTTTTCATTCCTCGCATGAGCGCCTACATCAGCAGCGGCCTGGGACACCTTGTCCTTGGCGTCTTGTGCCTTGTCACCAGCAGCCTGGGATACCTTTTCCTTTGTGTCTTGGGCCTTCTCTTTGGCATTACCCAATATTTCCTTGACATTTTGGGCCTTGTCACCCGCTACCTCCGACACCTTTTGTTGAGCATATTGGGCATTTTCCTTGGCATTTCCCAACATATCTTTGGCATTTTGGACCGTGCCACCCGTTGCCATCTCTACCCTCTGTTGAGATGTTTGGATACTATTCGCGAACAAATCTGAGTAATCTTGGCCCTTGTCACCGGCTACTTCTCCAATTTTCTGCATTGCATCGTGTCCTTTGTCCGACACTAGCTCCATTTTCTTGTCACTATCGTCATCATCAAGTCAAATACAAATGTGGATATTGCAAGAGGGAAAACATCTATTTAATTTAATTTAATTACGTACGTTGATATCTTCTCCTTCGTGTCCTCGGCAGCTCCCTTCCCCTGTCCCGCTGCTTGCTGCATTGTCTCCTTTGTCTTGTCCCAAAACTGACTCGCACTAAAATCCCACCCTCTGCACACCTCCAACGTCATTAGTGCCAACAATAAAAGCATTGTTGCCATCACTCCCCTTTTGCCCCTCATCATCGCCATCTCCACCTTATGTTGAATCAACCCTTAAAATATGGTATCTCTCTCAAACCAAAACTATGTATGTCATCTTCTCCCTTTTCAACTCATCTTTTCTCTTTCTTTATGTAGTATGTACGAGAAATGCTCCTATTGCAACTTATAGGTGTCATGAAGATTTTACTTAAAACTCTGAGATAATCACGCTCCACCATATCCGTGAGGAGACAAGTCTTGCTAACTTCTGTCCGACGTGGCAGTTCTGGAGGGGGCGAGTGTGGTTAGGGGTGCTTTGTTCACGACATGTGTTATTCTACAATGTGCTTTTTTATAAGTTCTACGATGTTATCGGTGCTCAATTTGGGAAGAAACTACCGAAGTGGGAGAGTCAGTTACAAGTTGGTGGTTAAAATTCCTAGTAAATTTTTGTCCACGAGTAATTTTAGTTTCCTTGTTCAAAGCTTTTCCTTTCTTACAGATATTACTTGGTTAGTTTTAGAATATGGTTTTTTTTTTATTAATAGGCATACAAGCCCTTGTACTATGCAAAGATAACAAAGAAGCCACTGCACTACAATACTATCAAATGAAGCCCTTTTACTAGGACAAAATAACAAATGCACCCCTCCATTAACTTTTCCGTTAACTTAACCTCCACATGGCAAAACTCTGCATTTACAACAAATGGGTGGACCATAAATGTCCAACTTCCCTTATTGTTTACCCAATCAAAGAAAACTAATTGGGTAAATATAATATATTAGCCATAATTATTAAGCAGCGGGAAATTATAGCCACAACTATCGAAATACAAATTATTAGCCATAACTATTGTTGCGAGTCAAGATTTGGCTAACAGCCCGATACTGTTTTCAAATTTTTAACGAAGAAGGTTGTGCCAGCTTCATAAAAAATATGATATGATGACTGCCACAAGGGAGCGAACTCAACATCGTAAAAGCTTAGTTATTATTACTAACAGAAGTGTTAACGAACACTTAATGGTTGGCTAATAATTTGTATTTCGATAGTTGTTGCTATAATTCCCCGCTGCTTAATAGTTATGGCTAGTATATTGTATTTACCGTAAAAATAATTTCAAAAGTACAATCGTTCTCTCTTCCATGTTTTCTTCTTGAATAGACTATTGAGAGCTGCTGCTTGGGGAACAAGAACAACTGCTGTCAATGGAACTCCGCTGCTAGATGGAATTCAACTAAAATTCAGTGTTGGATGTCTAGCTTACCTCCTTAGACTTTTCGACTGTAATAAGTCTTGAAAATCGACGGTAGTGTTGTCCTACCAAATAAAACCCTAAAATTTGGGGATTTTGTAGGCAACGGTGGGGGTCGCGAGGAGATCGCAAAGTCTGCGCTGGGAGTGGCTAGAAAATTGCAAGGTTGACGGCAGATAGTGGTTGGGAAATCGCGAACCCATTCTATGAATTTCTATCGGATTCCTTCGGTTTGCCAAAGCTGTCGACGAGCTTTGCTATATTAATCAAATTGCCAAAGCTGGCAGCGAGTCTCAGCCAGGGGATTCTTTTTTAATTTGTGATCAGGTGGAGAAATTGAGAACAATAAACAATAGGGGCAATTTGGACATTCTGGGTTCAATTAACAGAAATTCTGACTGAGGGGGTCACTTGTTATCTAACCATAGTATAAGTGTTGGGATCGATAGTATTATACTATAACGGCTTATTTGTTATCTTTTTATAATACAAGGACTTGTATGACTATTAAACCTTTTTTCTTCCAGCGTATAGAAAATACGAAACATCTAGTGATTTCTTGTTATTAAACCAAACAGATCGATTGGACTGGTAAAAGTGTCAATTGATTGAAATAAGTATTTAATTTACGTGTGTGGATTGATTGACCGATTGTTAGAAGTCGGATTCTAAATCGATGAGCTGCTATAGTGAGTGTGGTTTATTGATTTAATATTTTAACTAAAAAATTAAAACATTAAAAAAGATTATGAGAGGTAGAAACCAAGGACCAGGATACCGTACCGGACCGGCCGGTCGGACCGGAAAAACCGGAAACCGGACCTGGCCCGGCACAACATGGCCTTTGTACCATCCAAGAGGCTGCCGGGCGCTTTTTATGGTTGGACCGCAGCCGGCCGAAATTTCGGCAGGTTTTATTAAAACCGGCGGTCCCTTTAATTTAAATAAAACAGCGCCGTTTTGACCAAGTAAAAAAAAAGAAAGAGAAGCAGAGACAAAAGTCGAAACCCTACCTTCGGCTGCTGCTGGCTAGCGCTTCTCTCCTCTCTCCTCTCGTCTCCCCCGCGCCGCTCTGCCTTTCCATCCAAACTCCTTTCCATTTTTGCATTTTCTCACCACCGGCGAGTGGCGACAGCGGCGTCCCCAGCATCCAAACACCACCGGTGACTCGTCCTCCCCAGCAACTCGTTCACAGCCGCGCCGCGCCGCGCCGGAGGAGAAAGACGGTTCGGCTGCTCCAGGTGACCTCGGCGACTCGTCCTCCCCAGCAACTCGTTCACACTTCACAGCCGCGCCGCGCCGGAGGAGAAAGACGATTCGGCTGCTCCAGGTGACCTCGGCGACTCGTCCTCCCCAGCAACTCGTTCACAGCCGCGCCGCGCCGGAGGAGAAGGACGGTTCGGCTGCTCCAGGTGACCTCCTTCCCCCTGCTCCAGGTGACCTCCTTCCCCCTGCTCCAGGTCACTAATAATTCCATCCAAAGAAAATCGAAGAGCAAGGCTAGGAAAAAATTGTCGATACAAATTCCATCTTTCTTTCTGCTAGCTGGCTGCTATGCTACATAGCAACTCTAAAGGATTAGATTCAATCCAATATTCCAACCTAAATTCAAATAGAGAATTATATTCCACTTGCTCCAGTTTAATTATTGGCTAAATAAATTGGCTAAATAACTTGTGATTTGTGGAACATTAAGCTTGTGATTTGTGAACATTAAGCTTGTGGTTTTTGTACTAGTTTCTAAAAATGTATTTGGATGATTATGAGGTTTATTAGGTATTGAAATCTCGCACTTTGTTGAATGTTACCTAAGCTTATTTACTCCTTTACAGTTTCTTAGGCGGTATAATCCGGTTTTATTCCGGTATTTTCCCGGTATGGTACCCTAATTTTGGCGGTACGGTTTTTTAACAAAAAAATATTTTTTTATTCCAAAAACGGTATTTTTCGGTAGGAAACGGTTGAACCATGGTTGTACCACGATTTACCATACCAAAAACGATTTCGGTTTGATGTCCGGTACTGTTTCGTAATCCATGGTAGAAACATTGAAAATCTAACCAACCATAATTGATTAGAATTGTTTACTTCCTCTTATTTGTTTTCCACTCTCTCTTCTCTTCTCCTCCCCTTCGTCTTTTGTATTTTTTTCTTTGCATTCTTCATCCAACCCTTGTTAATATATCATATAAATAGTTTTATAAACGATTAACTACGAAGCGTAAATCATTCCATTTTGTGGTTTGATATTTTGACTGATCTTAAAAACATAGAGAGATATCCCTTGCATCATGGCCCGTGATCTGAGTTCCCGATTACATCACTACTTTTGTTGGGTCTACCTGACCTACCTTAATGGAAACTTACTATATTTTTCCAAAAATAAACCTTTACAAAAATGTTCAACATAGTAGTACATTGAGATTAATTTCCAATCTTGTTGTATGGAAGAAAAAAATTCCTAGCATGGGATGGTTTTGTCAATTTTGCAGTTTGATGGACAAATATCGTTGCTGAAGAAATCTACCTCGCTATATAGATGCTCCAACAGGAGATATACCCATATCGCCAATTAGACAAGCGACATAAGTATCATTGGTAGGAGACGAGTGGTAGACTATGGTTGGGTGAGGATGATAGATGTAGATCCCTATTTGTGGAAACCGATAAAATGAATGTTGCTTAAGTGGGTGGTGACCTTATTTGTTATTGGATGACTGAGAAGGACACCGATCAAGCCTTGTTATGCAGAAGATAGTGTGGATGAAAAAGCAACCTCTGCTATGTTTTCGTTGACTCGTGGCTCACACAACTATCTCAATCAAAGGCCAAGTGGAACCTCTCATCAAGGCTCGAAAGCATTCAAGAGATAGGCCAAGCATTCATTCACACACAATCAATCACGAGCATACATTCATACACCCCCTCACTTAAGCACAACATTGTCCTCAATGGAGGAAAGATAAAGATGGAACGCGTTTACTCAAATACATGGCGATTGATGAGTTGGGACTTAGGTAACCAGTTCGTGGAGTGGGAGCTTGAGAGCGTCTAATTTATAATGATCTTATATCGAGAGCGTGGTGAGAGCGTAATATATTTTTAATTACATATTATTTTACTATAATATATTTAAGTTAATACCAAATTTTTGCATGTGGATTTCTATTAATTGCTGGTTCCATCACCCAAATTTAGTCGAGCAGACTAACTTCACATTCTGTTGATGAGATAAACTTTTCACATGCCTAGGTATTTTCTGATTGAAAGGGAAATGTCTCTTAGTTGTTTACTTTATTAATTTATTGGAACAACGCGATACTTTTAAACAAACCGAAATACTCATAATGTTCAAAACTTCAATTAAAACCAATACCATCGAATCTTCTCCAAAATAATTTCAAATGAAATGCCCTAAACAGTTGGGCGACCTAAATCCATAGTAAAAAAAACCACTCAAACTCAAACCTCGAATCTCCAGTTTATATACTCATAATCATGAACAAAGATAAGAAACTAACTCTAACTCTAACTCCTCGTCGAGCTTCCGGGAACCCCATCAAATGATGGTGTGACTACTCGCCTCACAGCTTCTTCTCGGAATCTGCCACTGCATACCCTTCCACAACCTGGTGAGTGAGAAGGGGTCAGTCTCTTTGTTACTTTCTAAGGTCTTTGCCTAAGCGTACCTTAACACATTATTAGGAATTTCCTTCCTAGCGCGAAAGCCGTTCTCGCTTTCTGCTCTTAAATAGTCATTCCTTACTAGCTTATATTAGTTCTCTACTTCTATCTTGTGCTCATAGAAGGTCTCTACTTCTATATTAACTTATACTCTTAAAACTAGGGTCCACCTCGGTACGTATTGGCGTCCGGTGTCCCTA